GGTGTCAGATCTAAAAGAAGGCCCGGCCTGGGGTCAGATCTAGGAGCCTCTGAACAACAACAAGCTAACTGACATTGGGACGGACCGGGCAAACAGCCACTCAGAGACGCTTTGACAACACAGACATTTACGACACAGACATTGACAACACTACAGACATTGACAACACAGACATTTACGACACAGACATTGACAACACAGACATTTACGACACAGACATTGACACAACACAGACATTGAAAACACAGACATTGACATAACACAGACATTGACAACACAGACATTGACAACACAGACATTGACAACACGACAGACATTGACACAACACAGACATTGACATAACACAGACATTGACAACACAGACATTGACAACACAGACATTGACAACACGACAGACATTGACACAACACAGACATTGACATAACACAGACATTGACAACACAGACATTGACAACACAGACATTGACACAACACAGACATTGACAACACACAGATACTGCTACAGAATTGAAAAATAAATTTGTCCTACAATAAATATAAAGTAATGTACTAGATAATCTAGATCTAATCTATATCTAGATCTAGAGTCGACATGCAGGGGCGAAGGCTGACTTGTTTGACAGGGTAATCAAAGTGAAATGGGACCAGATAGGGCCTGTAGATATGACACAAGAATCTTACTCGAGGCGGCGACTCTGAGTTGTGAATGAAAACAAATCTGGAATTCATATTGTATGTTCAACCGCCAAAATAATCGGGAAAGTATCTTATTAAATATCAATTCCCACTAAAATTAAATTAACTTTAGATGTGAATACACAAACACAAAGCAAAGAAGCAGAGATGTCAGTACTAGATCTATATGTTATAGATCTACCAGTGAGTCTAACTCTTTGGTAGAACATGACAATTATTATTTTTTTAATTTTACATTTGGCTGTTTTTGTTAGCCTTTCGCGGCTAGGAGCTGGTGTCATAATCGAGGTCACGATCTGATTATAGGACGGTAAAAAGTCGAGGAAAAAAAACAAGCACAAGCAGCAGTCAAGAGATTATTAAGATTTAGTTCCCCTCACATTTGTGAGGTAGACTCGACCAGTGTTAGTTAGCTTACTTAATCAGGGCTGGTGATTGATTTTAACTGTGGCCCCAAAGGGGTGAACAGGGTATATGTGGCAATGAAACAACTTTGACTGCCACGCACATGTTCCCTTCAACTCTATTCCAGCCTCACTTTATTTGTTGATTACGAACGTCTTTTGACATTTAATTTATGAGGTTTACGTTTAAGGATGAATTTGACAGCGACAATGTTTCAAAATTAGAAAGGGAAGCAGTGATTATTTGATTATATAGACGCTTCGCCCCTGTCGACATGTAAAAGAAGCAAACCCCAACCCGATAGACCTGAATGAGATGCTGTTTGCGGAACATCAAAGACTGGCCTATGAGAAAGAAGAGCAACTTTAACACCAGTCTTCACGTCTTCTCTCTTGTTTGCCTTTACAAAACCGTCTAGGTAGCATAGATCTAGTAGTTTTGAAATGTTTAAGAACATAAAATTGTCAACAAAATTCAAGATGGCCACCGTTTCCATGGTGACCGATGAATTTGGGAATTGTTTGAAGGTGTAGATTTTCATTCCTCCACATTCCACATTCGTTTCAACATTAGCCTACCAATAGAGGCCTACTAGCTTCACAGGTTCTCTGGATAAAAAGTTGGTTTTCAAGGTAGCGATACCCCTTAACTACTACCAAAGATACTACAACTGCTACTAGATCTAGATCTAGAGTACAAATAAAATGTAAATTAAACGACAGAAGAGTCAGTCTGGGAAATCCTCAACCAAACAGTATGGCCAGAGAGGTATGGCCTGGAGTTTGAGTCCGAATAGCTACGGGTCACGGAAGGCTATTCAAACTCGAGTTCGAATAGCCCTTCGTAGAGTGAAAGTAGGAGCAGACTTCCGGCGGCGGTTTGTTGATGTTGCCACACTGGGTGGTAGGCCTAGGGCAGTGGGAAGAGAAGACAGAGAGCTTGAAGCAGGCAACTTGCGACACAGAAAGTGAAACGGACCGACTTATTGTAGGTAGGCCGAGGCTTAGTCTTGTTCCTCTTCAAGGTTAGATCTCTAGATCTAGATATCTAGTCTACGGGAGCATGCTATGCAATGTTCCCCCAGCTCTAGATCTAGATCTGTATATATCTAGATCTTCTAGATCTAGAATCTAGATCTAGATCTAGATATATATATCTAGTTAGACTTAGTTAGATCTCTAGAGATCTAGATTAGATATCTAGATTTATGTCCTCCCAGTCAAGTTACATAGTTACATTGCTATAAATTCTAGACTTCCTGCAATGTCATAAAGTGACCTGTCTGTGGTAAAGCAATAGTTTAACTGCCAAGTGGTCAAGAAGCAATGGTCTTCTAAGTCTAACTGACAGTGGTCAAGTTATAGATCTAAATCTAGATCTAGACTAGATCATAGATCTAGATTTAGTCAATCTCTATCTCACCAGTTTAAGGCGACTCAGTCATATTTGGCCTCATACGCCAAGTCGCTTTCCATCAACCAAAGATTCTCTACTGTACTATAGACTAGAGCTGGAGGAACATAGAGCTGACCCCAGATAGATCTACCTGTGAAAAAAGAAG